CCAGCAGCAGCTCTTTAACTCTTCGGCAGCCAAAGCTCATTACCATTTTTATGTAATTAAACGGTGCTGCTCGTTCTCTCTCATTAGATTATCACAGCAAATCGATGGTTATTTGAAGGAACTTCCACAATAGGAGACAAAACACTGGCAGCAGATAAAACAAAAGGATGCACACAAAGCTCTTTAATTAAACTCCGTGAAGGGATATGAATTCTAGCAGCGATTTTAGTTACCCTGCTGAGCCTATTTCTGATTAGCTACAATGCATCTGCTGGCTTTCCTAGAATCCATCTGTACTGCTAAAGAGAAATTTATTCTGGCTACAGAAGATGACCTCAAAGACATCCGTTGGGGATAGTCTGATAGTTTATGTATGTTGACAAAGTGGTTCTGAGTTCTTCTTGATGCGTTGACATGAAGAACCATCCTCTTTACATATAACCATGTGCTTAATAGGCGCGCACACACGTATGTGTGTAGGCACACACAAATAACAATGAGGGGCTAGCAGGAAAGCCAGAAAGGGATGGGATATTGTGAGGGAAAGGATTCTTCCTCCAAGTTGCTAAAACTCCTTATCGCCACAGTTACTTTTTCTTTTGGCATGCATCACCTGTTCCCCCCAGCCCTCCTCTTCAGCATCTGGCTGCAGAAGCGACAGTGAAGGCTAATAGACAGGACAAGAAAAAAAAAGTCATAGGATATGTACTGTAAGGTATATTAATGATAAGTTAGGCTGTTACTTTGAAGTTTGATTTTCTTTAAAAAAAAAAAAAGAAAAAAGAGAAAGAGAAAGAGTAAGAATTGAAAACAGATCTGCCATGGAGCATTTGTAAGAGGCAGTGCCACAAAACCCTTTGGGGCTTTCCATTCAGGTCATGAGGGATCTGGTTAAAATTGCACTGGTCCTTAATCCACAGGTAATTGACAGCACAGCCCTCAATGACTCAGTGTGGTTCACTGCCGCCGTGCTCATTACTACCGCAGGCCTTTAATCAGTATATTTTTAGTCACGTGCACCCTGTTGGCTCTACGCAGCCTATTGAGACAATAGACAATTTGCACATTTATCATAATTAATTACCTGCTGACATACTGAAAGCCGTTACCATCTCGCGTCCAATTCAGAGGAATGTATTTGATGGAATGAGGCCAGACTATATGATGCACACATACAGCCTCAAAACACTCGCGAGAAACAATTGTTCCCTGTGCTAAACGTGGTGCAATTTTTTTTTTCCTCAGAGCCCCAGGAGCTTGGGTGGATGAAAGACCTTTTCCTCATCCCTTATGGAGCTCTGAAAATATCCCAAGTTCTGCCTAATTTATACAACCCAGTCCTCAGGGTCCTCCTCGGTTGCCAATGTCCTACTGTGAAGGCTCCATTAAATCTTTTATTTATTTGTCCACAGAGGCCACTGAAGAATGTCACAAGGTATTTCCTCTTCCAAAGTAGATTAAGCTAAACATGAATGAGGCCCTAACATTATTCTGGATAAGGGTGTGCACTCGTATTTTGCCACACTACTGACATTCTGCAGGGTGTAAATATTCCCGGGCCTGATTCCTGACCCACCTTATGTGCCAGTAGGTGCAGATTTCTTACGCTCATGACTTGGCAGTATTTTACATTCATGCTTTGTAATGACAGATGCAAATGAACACGAAGTTCAAAACACCGGGGAAAAAAGTATCGTACCGATTGTACACCCCAGCCTCTGCTGTCCCACTGAGCAAGCTGAAGTCCAAGGCCAGATTTGGTTTTATAAATTGTAATTGAATAGCAACTAAAAATGGAGAGTTCCAGCACAGTGCTGACAGTGTGATTTCATTTAGCATGGAACAGCAGGTTTACCAGTAACTCAGACAACTGTCCACCTACAAAAACTCTCTTTAGCTCAATCATCCCCACGGATGTCTGCCCTGAACTATGTCCAAAACACAGCTGAACAAGAGATTTTGGCCAGTAACAAATACCGCCAGAAAGGACCAATATTTTCCCATTACGAAAATACCACTCAAGAAGATCTCTAATTTTTTATAATCACCTGCAATTCTTAATACAAAACTACAGTTGGTTTTGCATTTGACTCTGGGTAGAAAATGCAGTCCTCAGCTGTGAAGTTGGTAATGCTCTGGTGACTCAAAAGCTAGCAGTTCGGTTCAGCTCAGGTATTCTGCAGAGCCGACTCCACCTCACCCCCACATGCCCTAAGTGCATGCAAGGTATGCTTTTAAAGCTTGCCTCCCTTGGAGTTTCTGTCTCCAACTTCTCATCCTTTAAGTTACTTAAGTCTTGGCACGTCCTGCCTCATTAGGTGTAAAAGTCCAATGTCCAGAGGAGAGATTTAGGCACTGTTACTGTAAATACCCAGAAACCAGCGTGATGACTGGTTACCTGTATTTACTTAAAAGTGTTACTGTGCATCATCCGAAGTCCGTTGACATGGATCAGCATCGCATTCTGCAAGGTGCTGCAAAAGCAAGCAGAAAGAAAGTTTCTGCTGCTGACAGCTAATTCTTTCAAATTCGGAAAGCGATAAGCTGAGTGGTACATCTCCAGGTCACAGCAACCTTCTGTAACAGCATGAACTATAAGCATAATTTTCTCACACCGAGCAGTTTGAGGAAAACGAATCTGCTGCTTTACCTAGTTTCAGCATTATGAAACCATCATATAGAAATAAGCCAATAAATGTACATAGCCCACAAACGTAATCTGGAACAGCTGAAGTACTCGATAAAAGCATCCAATGGCTTATGCATAATGTAAGTAATACACTTTCCATTATAAGCTTTAAAAATCAAGCCATATTGCTGGAACAGATAACAGTGCAGATGACATATATGACCAGTGGCCTGGACCTTCCTCTCGGACAAATCTCTTGCTGCTGTTGACTGTTACCAAATCCCACAAGCTGTCAAGGACATGAATCGTCCCTGGGACTTGAGATTCTGTGGGATGGTGTTAACAAGCTAAATACACTAGATTTTGCAAACCCTGAGAAGTGGGATTGCAATGTATTAGCCCAAGAGCATTTTCCAGGAGGAGGTTTGAGTGTTGCACTGCAATGGGGCCTGAAGAAAGGGTCAGCCCTGTTGTCCTGTTAGGTTACATACCTTTCCAAGAGTGAAAGGAAGGGAAAAATCAGTTCAGAAATTATATGATATGGTTAGTTTCTTCTAGCTACAGCACATCAGGTCTGAATACTTCAGCTAGGTGAAAGACTGTCTGAAAAAGCACTTTTGGGAGGCTTGTTCAGTAAATTGTTTTTCTGTGTCTTTCTGAAGAAGAGTTCCTAGTACTTCTTAAAAGTTGGCATGGAAGTCCCCAGGTACATTGATACATTAGGTATGTACAGCTACAAGAGCAATGGAAAGCTTTTTTCTATAGGAATTTGAGTACCTGAGGCAACAACTGCTCCCTACTTTGGAAACTAAGCAGACACTTTTGTCTGTGTTTACTCCTGAGGGAAAGTAATGTGACCATCATAAGGCTATGAGTTACATCAATTTTAAAAGATACTGCTTTGAATTAACAGAAAAGTGAGCAGGAAAATTCTTCCTTCTGGAAATCTAGTCCTCAGCTGATCATTTACGTGTTGATAATCATTCTTTCCAAGTAAACAAAGCAACAAGCTCTTCTTATGAGCCAAGTCAATCAACATTACAAGAATGAAAATAATTCTTTTACATAGCTTTTTTTTCCCCCAACTCCAAGCTCTTAAAAAAAGGCCAGAAAACCCACCTTAGAAAAAAACCTGGCTGCAGTCACCTCTTAAATTAAAACAAAAGGAGTGATATTATAATAGGGAGAGAAGGATTTAGTCTTTCACTTAAAAAAAAGTATGTACAAGGTTTTGAACATGCCTTAGGAAGAATCCTATACTCCCACAGATATTTGCAGAGAAAAATTATGAAAACATGCCCTAGCTGGCTGGTGGGCAAAAGCAATGTGAAATCAGCAGACGTATCAAAAAACATGGGTAAACTAATATTTCCAAAAAATTAGCTTTGCATGCAGTTCTGGTGCTGCCTTTGTATTCCAGGAACGTAGGCACTGTAGGAATCCTTGAGTCAGATAAATCCAACTTCAAAAATAAGAGGGAAGCAGGCCCTTAAATCACTTTGCTACGTTGGAATGAAATGAGCCCACTCAGTCCTGCCTTCAAGATCGTCTCATTCTACCAACGACCTCCAGCAGCAGCCGCTGTCTACGGACTCTCACGCTAAGTGCAGACATCGACAAGCCGCTAAAACTCATCTGACTGTATTTTAAGTGGACGCCAAACAGCCACCACAACAATGAAGTCTGTCTGTGAGTGATTTTTCATTGTCTGCAATATAAAAGTCAATAATGGTCCCAGATACC